TGCGGAAAATATGGTAAACATGGGGGAACTAAAGCCAAACTACATATTACTTTCGTGTGTGTGTGTGTGTGTGTGTGTGTGTGCATGCACATGCACGCTTAAATAGCAGCTGCAAACCTCCTCCCCCATCTGAATTAGGATGGTGAAAAGGGGGTGAGGGTTTAACCATGTTCCCCCCACACTATGGTTCCAACACAAATGATACAAGAACTTTTCCCAGAGGGTAGATAGCAACATTCATTGGAATGTGTGTGGTTTTCATTGAGAAAATATTGTGGGAGGAGTCAAACCACCTTCACCTCCAGTCTTGGGGACCTATGACAACTATTTTAAAATGTACACACACATACATGCATGCATGTGAAGACACGTTTAAAGTAATGTGTAGTTTGGCCCTCAGTGCCTGCTCCTCTCATCTTTTCCCACCCCTCTCCTGAAAATAGAGCTAATGACCAGGGCTGTTACATCACTGTTGGTTGTAGCTCCAGGGCACTCCCAATATTGGCTCTGAATCATTGGTTTTCCCAATGATGCAGAGATATCCTGTAGTTTCTTGAGAAATACTGCTGTTTGATGCATTTCCGCCTCAAACCAGCTTCAGTCTGAAAAGAAAACTTAGGCCACATTCACTTCACAGTTAAGGCGTTTACACTTCAGACAGGCATTGCGCATGCACAGATGACAGCTTCGTGAATAGGAGTTTGATTGGCTGCAGAAGCAGGAGAACCAAACAGGCAACGTGCATCAGGTGAAGACATTCCTGCCCCCTCAAATGCAGCTTTAAACACAGGGTGGGGTGGGGAGCTCCCACTGCACTTTAAGCCGCTAATGTGCTTATAGCCTCAGAGAGTCTGACTATTTTTCACCAAAGGGCTTCCTTAACCACAAAAATTATTCCTCCCCATTATTCCAAAAGGGAAGATGCATTTGAGGGCAATGTGAGTGGCTGCCTGGAAAAGAACAGAAGAATTTGCAAATCTGATTTCCTTTTGCCGCTTCTGGTTGCCCATTCTCTCATCTGAGCAGCTTCCACAAACTGACCTTGCTTCTACTATCCCCCCCCCACGCTTGTAAGTTGTTTTAGTTGGTGTTGTTTACCCCCAAAGCAGACACCACATGCACACACGCTCTCTCTCTCTCTCTCACACACACACACACGCCCCAGTACACAGCACAGATGGCTGCAGAAATGTCACGCTATGCACAGCCTTCCACAGAAGGGCAGAATTTGCTGGTAAGTGATTATGCACCAACCGCAGATGCTCTCCTAGGAAATTTTAGCAAGGAGAGCACCAGGGAAAGGTGAAATCGGTGAGGCTGAGGGTGGCAATGATAAACCTCTCAGAACGCTTGGCAATTAATCTTGTGCTATGAGTCAGAGGGACCCAGAGCCACAACCCAGTCACTGGCAATGAGACACACTACCGGATCCAGCTCCAAGGAGTTAATCTCAGCTTTGGGAGCTTTCAAATGCCATCAGGCTTAGAAAGATATTAATTCTGAGGAGGAACAAATGAAGGAGGCACGTTTGAGGGGCGCCCTCGCCAATGAGATGTGCACACACGCTGACAGCAGCTTGTTCGCCTGTTGGAAAAGCTGCCTGGGTGCATCAGCGAAATATACAGAAGCGGGCTTCTTCCTCCTTTACCTTGGGAACATGAAAAAGAGCTTTTCGGTGGAAAAGGCAGAGCTTCAGATCACAAAAGTGACACTTAGGGGCATATTAGCAGTGAGCAAAGAGATGGCACCCTTGGACTTAATTCACAACTTGGGGGTGACTGTTTTCACATAATTCCTCTTCTCTCTTCGTAAAGGTTCCCTCAATACCAGCAACACTGCCTTAAGCATGACTGTTGCTGCTCAGTTATCTTTCACATGCACTAAGGACAGGAGCGAATGCAGTTTGCACATTTTAACAGCAGATGTCTCTCCTATTATGATTTATCCAAATGTTTAGAATTAATAATACTAACGTATTTATAGGAACAAAATCCCATTCCCCGACAGGCTTGCCCCTTGGAGACTCCTGAGTGGGTCTGTGTCACTCTTGAGCATGCTTCGGGTTTGATATTTCAGGAGTATAAACTCAAAAAATCCCAGTCAGATATTTGAGCAAAACAGCAGAGTCCAAACAGTGTTAACATACAAAATGTGTTAAATGTTCCAAATGGTGAGAAACTGACTCTGGGAGCCTGATTCTACTTATCTTGACACCGCAATGGCCTTGCACTTCCATGCAAACATTAGCAGGTTATTTGAGCCTATTTCTTATAAGGTGGGGGAAGGAGAGAATGTGCAGCCTTTTAAACACTCCCTTCTTTCCCCCTCCTCTTGAACAGGATAGGTCTAATTCTGATACACTCCAAGTGTATTTCCCAGGGACAGTCCCAGAATTACAAAAGCCATCCTAGCTTCTGATTTGACCCTGGAATGTCCCTATTTATCCTGCCAGCTCCTCTGAGCTCGGGGAGGAGAATGCAGTGGTGTCTCGGGGGGGGCGGTGTGCCCCGGGTGCCATGTCTGGGGGGGTGACAAGAAGGTATCCCGCAGGGTACTCGCCCCGCCACAGCCGCATGTGGAGGATCCTCCATTTGTGGCGGCAGCCACAAGCAGAGGATCCTGCCGACCGTCCGTATGGCGTTCAAGTGGCACCAGCAGCAAACCGCTATGTACAACGCATGCACAGTGTCGCACTCATGCGCTGTATGTAGCAACGCCGCACATGCGCTGTACATAGCAGTTTGCTGCTGGTGCTGCTCAAGCACCATACAGATGGCGGTGGGATCAATACGTCGCCACTACAGCCGCAAGCGGAGGATCCCGCCACCATCCGTATGGCGCTCGGGCGGCACCAGCGGCAGACCACTACGTACAACGCATGCGTGGTGTCACACACATGCGCTGTACGTAGCAACGCCACGCATGTGTCCTACGTAGCGGTGCAACGCGTGCGCAGCCGGTGATTTGCCCCGCCCCAGGTTTTGGTTAGCCTTCGTTCACCCCTGGAAGGATGAGCTGGTACTTGTCCCAAGCGATGACGATGGATGGGTGATGATGTGAGGGAGCATCCCATTGCTTCTTCATGGATGTTCCCATTCTTTATGGGATGATTCAGGGGAGGATATTTACAACTGCAGGGGGGGGCTTCTTAGCTCACCAGCAATATTGCACTGCCAGCCACTGTGGCCATTCACTTTTCCTAGAGTGCTTCATGAAGAATGCTGGGGAAGGCACACTGAGAAGGAAGAATGGCAGCAGAGATCCGCTGCTTTGCCAACAACTTTTTAAAGTGGGAATACATTTCTTTTAAAAATGAAACTGAAACAACTACACCCAGTACAACATCTGTGAATGATGTGGCAAATTGGGGGTGGCTATTTTGGCTCACCCCAACACAGGCATGGCTAAGGGGGAAGCAACCACCCTTTTCAGATACAAAAGGGTCACTTAATTTAGAAAAAGACTTTAAAAACTGTTCTAAAACTTCTCTGTGCATTGGAGAGGGTCAGGGAGACAGAAATGTGTCTCATATCATTGGCACTATCCACTAACCGCTGACCCCAGTGTTACCACCCAGATACACATCACTTGTCTCACTCGCTGGATCATCACCTTTTTGTGGTGAGTGGGCTTGCATGTTCCTATGACCCTTGTGAGCGAAGCCGTTGGGAGTCCCGTACTCCCAGCAGGGTCACCAAAGGCAGTAAGGTCAAAGGGGAGGAGCTAGACAAAGAATGATCCAAGAAGTCCGCAACAGAAGAACAGGCGGAAGATAACAAGCAGTATGTTACAACAGCTGTGAAGGCGGATGGAGGCTGCAGCAGATAAGAATCTACCAGTTGTCTTGATACTTATGCCATCAGAATAGAGCCTTACTGCAAAGATTGCGTTGGTCAACATGCACTGATCTACACACATAAAACAAATTCACACACAGGAGTCTTCCAAAAATGCATCCCAAACCATAAGAAGTCCCATGACAATCGGCAAATGGTAACGGGGGCAGGACCGTGAAATCTGGAAACCCCTAGTCATGAACTGGCACATGAGCAGTAGACACAGATCCAGTCATTCTGACTCAAGGAATGAGGCAGTTGAGTAGCTTGACAGCTGTATCCATGACTGAGCAGTCCTATTTAGGATCCACTCTGCTCACCCCGAAAAGGGGGAGGGGCTAGAAAAGGTTCCCTAAACATAGTCTGCCTCCCTTTTTCCCTGACTGGATTACCGCACCCAGTGGGGTCACCACCCAGTGGTCGTAAAAGACAATTTAACTTTGGAACATGGAATATATGGATTTTGTTGGATAACCCAGATAATGAGTGTCCCGAAAGCAGGACTGCATCATAGCAAGAGAGTTGTGACGTTTTAACATCAATATTGCAGCACTTCAAGAAACTCAAAGAGTGGGAAAGGACCAACTGAAGGAAGAAAAAGGAGGCTACACATCCTTCTGGAAAGGTCTACCTGAACAAGAACGTCGAATACATGGAGTAGGCTTTGCTATCCAAAACGATATTGTGAAGCGCTTGTCAGAAGTCCCTACCAGCATTAATGAGCGACTTTCAACCCTTCAAGTAAAACTCGCCGAAACCAGGCTACTATTTTAAGCACTTATGCACCAGTGCTGGATGCCGATGAAGACTTTAAAGAAAATTGTTATTTTTAGCTGGATGCCATCCTATCAGAGACGTCTAAGGAGGATAAAATTATCCCCCTGGGTGATTTTAATGCAAGAGTTGGGCAAGATTTTGATCTGTGACCTAGGACTATTGGGAAAGAAGGAATTGGCAACAGCAACCAGAACAGAATATTACTTTTGACTATATGTGCAATGCACAACCTTGTTATTGACAACACACTCTTTTGACAAAAAAATAATTTAAAACATCATGGAGGCACCTTTGGTCAAACCACTGGTACCTCTTGGACTACGTAATTGTCCGAGCTGAAGATTGCTGTGATGCGCTCCTTACCAGAGCTATGACAAGTGCCGATGAATGCTGGACAGATCATTGATTAATACGCTCCACAATGGCTATCAAGATTATACAGTACCTCAACACAGACTTCAAGGGAGGAAACCAAGGCACAAAATGAACACTCAAGCCCTTCAAGATCCTATTAAGCGGGATTGCTTCCAAATGACTTTTAAGGACCATCTGCTATTGGAGTTCCCTGATAACATCAGGAAATACTGGACCAAGCTAAAGACATCCATTATTGCAGTCTGTGAACAAACTATTGGATACCAAACCAAGAAACACCAGGACTGGTTTGATGAGAATGATAGTGAGATTGAATGCAGTATTGACAAGAAAAGGTAGACCTTTCAGATCTGGCAAAGAGATAGAAATTGGTTGTACTACCAAACTTCCTGTATGCTTGTGAAACATTGACCACTTATAAACACCATCTCCAGTTCCTTGAAAGATTCCATCAATTTTCGGTGTCCCTGAAAAAAATTACATATCACTTGGGAAGACAGGAGAACTAAATGCCAGTGTACTGAAAAAAGCAAAGATCACCAGCGTTGGAACAATGATTCTTCAACATCAACTTTGTTGGTCATGTTATTTGGATGCCTGATTATCTTCTGCCAAAGCAACTACTGTATTCTGAACTTAAAAATGAAAAGTGTAATGCTGGTGGTTGACAAAAGAGGTTGAAAGACTCTCTCAAGGCAAATCTTTAAAAATGTAGGATAAACACCGACAACTGGGAAATACTGGCCTGCAAGTGTTCCAATTGGAGGACAGTCTTTACCAAAGATGTCATGGACTTTGAAGATGCTCAAACTCAGAACAAAAGGGAGAAACGTGCTAAGAGGAAGGCACATTTGGCAAGCCCTCACTTTGATCAACTCCTGCCCAGAAACCTATGTCCCCACTGTGGAAGGATGTGTGGATCCAGAAATTGCCTCCACAGTTACTTACGGACTCACTGTTAAGCGTGTTCATGGAAGACAATCTTACTCAGTCATGAGTGGTTGCCAAAGAAGAAGAAGAAAGACACATCACTTTTTGTCACACTTTTCAGAGCTATCTACTTGAAGCACTGTGAAAACCTCCCAAACCTGTTTAATCAGAATCCGTGGCAGGACAGGTGGCCCTACAGGCATTCCTTTGACTCAGTGGTAGACCACATGCCCTGCATCAGGGTGCCAACCTGAATAAAATGTTGGAGGAGGGGCAGGTAAGCTCCACCCCACATAATCAATCACATGACACGCACACAATTTGAATGGTAATGCCCATCAATTTGGGGGGCCCTCAAATATTTTATGGGGGGACGACGAAGGGACCTTGGCCCCTAGGAGTTGGCTCCCATGCCTTGCTTACAAAGGCCCCAGATTCAACCTGTGGCATCTCCAGTTATGGAAGGAACAGGCAATGTGAAAGACCCAGGAGAGCCAATACTGGTCGCAGCAGACCATACTGGGTTAGATGGGCTAATAGGCCAACAGGATAGACTGGGGCTGTATAAGGCAGCTTCTTTCTGTGGATTCTCTACAAACTGCTTGCAAGTCTCTGAAATACTGCCAGCATACAATCTAACAATTGCTGCTGGTTGGCCACCAACTCTCTCTGTAGCTTCATATTTTGGAACCACACAGCAAGGAGGAGGCATCCCTTCCTCATCAGCTGCACTGTGTGAAGAAGTGGCCCAATTACTGCTTCGTACTCAGCTCTGCTGTTTCCATGGCTTCACAGTATAGCACTTCCATCTCTGGAGGCCATCAGTGCAGGAGCCAGCATCTTATCCTGATGATCTTGACTGTAGCATCCTCCTAATCTGTGCCTTCTGCATCCTCAACAGCTGCAAGGGATATGATCCTTTTCCCTACAGGAAAGACATTTGCTTCGGCTCTTAAGCTGCAACACAGTCTTCATGAAAACCGTCATTGGCGTGGAGAAAGAGTGCTGGTGATGTGGAAAGAAAGGACAGCACGGAGCCCTTTAAGCAAAGTCCTGTGCCTTTGTTATGCACTTCATCACTCCATATTGTTGGGCAACCATCTTTTGTGTTAAGCTGATCTCTTGCTAAAAGGGAGAAGTTGAGCTAATGGCTGTGGAAATTTCCCTTAATGTTCTGGAATCTCTCCTCAATCCTTTGGGAGGTGGGTACCATTCAGATAGAGGGAGGAACAAATACATAAATTTGAGCCCTTAAGAATTTGTTTCAGAAAGAGGGAAAGAAAATGAGTTTTTAGCAGGACTTAGCTGGATTGGAAGTAGCGGGTGGGGGTGGGGCGGTTGTTATCCTGTTGCTGTCTTGATTCTGTATATATAGCCTGAAGCCTGGTTGGAAAATGTTAATCACATCAGGGGCAGACTTCAGTAATCTTTTGTAATATGGCGCCCTGTGTGAGGGCAAAATTTGGCACCCCCAAATGGATCTTCTCAATTATGAATCTTCTCAATTTTGCACTCCTCATCTTGGCACTCTGTGCAGGGCAACCACTGCCTTAAATCCGGTGCTGTTCACATGAGCTTTGTAGATTTTTTCTTCCTATTATAGTCATAATTTTCTACCAGAGATACGTGTTGAATATGTAGCAAGAGTTGTCCAAATTGTCTAGTCTTGGCTCCAAGCCTTTACATGCTGTGCAAGTTGCTCACAGGGCTTCTGTATATAATATAATTCTGTATATAACTGCATGAGGATTTGGGGGTGACCTCAAACGAAGTGCACACAATATAGCCCATGGGCATGGGGGCAGCTGCCCCCCTAGAAATACTTAACTGACCAATCACATCGGTTCTGCCCCCCCAGCAAAAGTCCTAACCCCGCCCCCAACAAAAATCCTGGCTTTGCCCATGATACAGCCCATCACCTTCTTGGACCTCAGACCTGGAAGGGGTGAAGATGGCTATGAATCAGCTTGTGTATTTCCTCCTTGCACTTGCACACTTGAGACTGACTTTTACCAAGAACATGTGACTGGATATGCAAGGCTCATCCCATGGGAGAGGGAGGGATGCCATTAGGTTCTCTGGTGTAGGACACAGACCCATCTGCCATTCTGATGGGAACCTTGGCCAGGAAAAGTATGGCAGGCCTGAGTTCCAACATGTCTCAAGATATCTGGAGGCTCTTCTTTGAGTGGCAGTGTCCTTGGCAGTCAAGCCACTCCACTCCTCTTGGCCGCTGCCCTTAGCATACTGCTGGCTGGAGCTGGTTGCCTTGGCAACTGGTGCTGGAGCACTGAATGTTCTGCTCTTCTGCTGCTGGCTCTGGTGGTGGCAGCCCTCCTTGGCTGGACAGGCTGCGGTGCACCATCAAAATAAGAACAAATAAATTGAATCTGAGTTGAGTTCAAGGTGCTGATGCTTACCTTTAAAACACTATTTGGCTTGGGACCTGGGTACCTGAAAGATTATCTTCTCATGCGTCAACCTCCCTGTGCACTGAGATCATCTTTAAAGATCCTTCTCCAGGTGCCCCCACCACCTGAGGTGAGGCAGGTGGCAGTGGGTGGCAAAATCTCCAATGTTGTAGAGCCCTCAACATCCCCTGGAATTTCAGAAAGTGTGAGATATTGGCGGGGGGGGGGATGGATGACAGCTGGAGCAGTGATGACATAATACTGTGTGCCTGTTCAAACACTCCTTAGAGCAGAGCTTTCCAAACTTTTCATGCTGGTGACACACTTTTAGACACACATCATTTTGCGACACAGTAACTAAGTTTTACTAGCAAACTGGAGGTTAAATTAACCCCTTTCCAGTCCCGGGAAGAGAGCGGGGAGTGTTCATGTGATGCACCTGCACACTGCAGCCAACACACCAAGGTGTTGCAACACACATTTTGAAAAGCTCTGCCTTAGAGCATATAATTGCACCTATCATGTGATGGTGGAGACACTTTGCTACCTCCATTGTATCCTCTAGTAGCTGTCTGGAAGAACTTTTCTAATAGCGTGAAGACTGCTAACATCCGTCCCAGTTTGTGAGGCTGTGGTTGCCTCAGAATTTCCTTCTGTTGCGTTGGTGATCTTTTTCATCCAGAAATTTAGGGGACAGATGAATGGTGCATTTTTTATTATACATATGCCATGGTCTTGAATTCTTTTAGGAATGCAATGAGATTTGCTAAGGCTTCCCATATCCTTGTTTACAAATACACACCAGGTCCCTCAGAGTCAGTTGCAACATGATTTGTTCTGAAATAGCCAGATGCTTTGAGAAAGCTAGTAATCATTTGTCAGGTGTGATGTTTGATTCCCTGGCATGTGTCTGACTTCAGTGCTAAATCTCTGTTACTGAAGTGAAACTACGTCCCTCAAAATGCTCTGAACCGCTTAAGTCAAAAGATGAAACTGTTACTTAGAGTTCCCTGTTTCTAGTATATTCCCTGCAAATCCATATCTTACAATTAAAGCACAATCATGTGGCTCCCCCCCCCCCCAATCCTGGGAACTGTAAGGTGTTAGGAATTGGAAGTCTGTGAGGGGAAACTTTGGTTTGGAGGATGCCATGTGCTTTAAATGTGCATTGGAGTTCTTTAAATGTATGGTGTGGATCCACCCTGATTCATCTTTCTCGTATCACCTACATTTCTACAGCTTTGAGAGCTGTCTTCTGATTCTTGGTGTGTTCCATGAAGTATATTTGCAAGCCCAAGTCTCTGACAATATCTCACATGCCAACTATGTTTCCACCCGCATTCTCATCTATATTAAAATAAATGATTTGTGGGTCTCTTGATGGATGTGTTGATCCAGTGTGGCTAATCTGCAATACACTCTCCTTAAAAGGTAAAGGAGACCCCTGACCATTAGGTCCAGTCGTGACCGACTCTGGGGTTGAGGCGCTCATCTCACTTTATTGGCCAAGGGAGCCGGCGTACAGCTTCCGGGTCATGTGGCCAGCATGACTAAGCCACTTCTGGCGAACCAGAGCAGCGCATGGAAATGCCGTTTACCTTCCCGCCGGAGTGGTACCTATTTATCTACTTGCTCTTTGACGTGCTTTTGAACTGCTAGGTGGGCAGGATCAGGGACCGAGCAACAGGAGCTCACCCCGTCACAGGGATTCGAACCGCCGACCTTCTGATCGGCAAGTCCTAGGCTCTGTGGTTTAACCCACAGCGCCACCCACATCCTTAGCCTTTGACAATTCCCTCCTGTCTCCCGAAATTAATGGGAGGACTTTTGTGGATTTTGCCATTTCATTGTTCATAATAAAATGCATCACGTACCAACGAAGACTTATGTATGATCTTACAGGATGTGTTGGGAGAGGTGGGGGTAGATTGTTTCGTATTCCTTCCTTTTTCCTCTGTCATTCCTTTTTTTCGATGTCATGGGGGAGGACAAGCGGTG